AAAGACCAGCAGCTACTGCTCACCCTTCAACAGGAAGTTTTCCAACATCAAATAAAATAACTAAAAAGAGAAAATGGTAAAATAAGTGGCCTTTATTTGTATAACGCCTTCTAGGGTTCCACAACCCCCAAGGCACTTCACAACACAGTCGGTCATTCACCCACGCACACACACATTCACACGCTGGTGATGATGAGCTACTGTATAGCCACAGCTGCCCTGGGGCGCACTGACGAAAGCAAGGCTGCCAAACACAGGTGCCACCGGTCCCTCCGTCCCTAATAGCTCTTAGTGTTTAATGAAACCAGCATTAACTGTTTCATGTTCCTCTGAGCTGAACTGCTGTTATCGTGCCATTCAGGTTTAATTGGCCACATTCAGCCTGTTGATGGTTAATCATAGCAAGTAGGGATGTAAGAAAATATCGATATGGCAATATATCGTGATATTTTTCCAGCAATATTATATCGATATTCAAAAACCCGTGTATCGGAAATATCGATATGGCAATATATCGTGATCTTTTTCCCAGCAATATTATATCGATATTCAAAAACCGTGTATCGGAAATATCGATATGGCAATGTATCATGATATTTTTTTTCCTGCGATTATTACATTGATATTCAAAAGCCGTGTATCTAATTCTTGAAATAATTTCCATGCAAACTTTTGTGTATTTTCTTTTCGTTTGGTGCAATTCAATCGCCACCCGCTAGTTGGCAGCAGTGTGCGACGGGTTTTGTTTCCACCATTGAAATGTAAATCCCTCCACCATGGTTCAGATACCTCATGTTAAACGTGTTACGTATCAGTTTGGACTGTTTATTGAACATTCTTACAATAAATTCAGTAAAAAAAATGCTTGTAACATCTGACTGAATGTATCGCAATATATCGTGATATATCGTATCGTCTCCCCTTTATCGTGATATGTATCGTATCGCCAGAATTTCAAAAATACACATCCCTGATAGCAAGGCTTTATAATTTAGCACCAGTGCCTGCTTTGTTTTTTCCTGTAAAAGATGTAAGTTAGTCTAATGTCGAGTTGCAGATGAAGCAGAAGTCACCTGGATGCATGGATGTCTCTAGTCGTGGATTTTTGCGTTCCATCTTTTTTATGTGTCTGGTGAGTCGATGCAGAGGTCTGCTGGCAGTAAACACTACAGCTTCCATTTTGGATCCTTTCAAAATAAAACTCTCATGGAAACTAAACATTCATCTGTTTTTTTTTACCCAGTTTTGTGACCAGTTTGTGATTTTTATCTTGAGAGGCGCCATTTAAAACATTGTTTTCTTTCTTTGGGGAGTAATTGGGGCAAAAATAATCATGCATACATGTTTGTTTTCAGTCAGATTACATCTAGTCTTGTTCTCTGCTCTTTTGTTCCCAGCTATCCATAAAATCTCAGTTCAAGTGTCGCTTTTGATAAACTACCTGCACAGGTGGCACACTTTTGCTGTTTCCAGTAAGTGTGCGTGTGTGTGTGTGTGTGTGTGTGTGTGTGTGTGTGTGTGTGTGTGTGTGTGTGTGTGTGTGTGTGTGTGTGTGTGTGTGTGTGTGTGTGTGTGTGTGTGTGTGTGTGTGTGTGTATAGAGTCAACAGTTGACATTTGCGATGAGGTCAGCAGACCGCTGTTGTCACTTCTGCTCCTCGTCACAAACCTGGACGGATGCTTGACTTGGGTTCTGGTTGACCGTGAAAATAAATAAACAAATCCTCACCCTGTTTCTGACAACAGAAGTGTGTATATTTGTTACTCCTGTTGTATGTGAACGCGCTTGTGTGCGTGCTTAAAGTTGAATCAGAAAAGCCGCGTTTATTTGAGGAATGACTGAAATATTTCATAACACAGCTGCTGTTTTTCAAGCTTAAACGCGATCTGTAACGGTGAGTTTCATTTGTAATGTTGTAGCCACTCATATTCATTATTTGTGCTGATATAAAGAATTTAATTCCCTCAGCAGTTTTCAGGGCTCTGCATTATCTCACATACTCTCTAATCCTCATATTAAGTGAAGCAAAATCCCTCAGATGTTCCCAGTTTGTTGTTAAATCTGTGTTCGCAGACATTCCCGCTCCGAGAATGGGATGAGGAAGACTGTTAATGAATTTTCAAACATGCATCTGAAAAGTCCCTATAACTATTTAATTCCTACATATTTGGGTCATGCATGCATTAACCTGTATTTCATCCCTGCAGACTGAAGCGGATGCTTTATTATTCAAGTGTTTCCAACTCATCCCATGTGTTCTTGGTCTAGTCTGGCTAGCAGCTGATCTCGATGTGGTCCATATTTTCATCCCAAAATAGTTCCTCCTCCTGCTTGATGATGATGATGAACAACGTAGAGAAATGTAAACAGTTGTTTGGGAGCTGAGGTTATAGCAGTAATGGCTCATGAACGGAGCTCGGGGAGAGACGTGAGACACCGGGATCCCTCGGTTATCCGTCATGTTCTCAGGAAAACCTTAGACACAGCGTAGCTTTAGCCGAGCTTCTTATCTTCACTGAAGCAAATACTGGAGCTTTAGTGCCATGTTCACTGTGATGTGATGGGATTACTTGATAGCTCATGGGGCTTTCGCATAAATGCAGCACTAGAAAAAAAATTTGGCTCTCATCAACCCAAAAGAACAAGAAAAAAGCATTTAGGTCAGTGGGGAGGACTCCCAGTCAGCCAGTGTTTTGCAGGGTAGTGTGCTGTGACGTGCCATGCTTCAGTGTTTAATGAGATGCTATGGTACACCTCACTTATGCAATCCCCGTAGATCTACGGGAACATGTTGCAAGATCAATTAAAGAAACCTGCTTGATTTCTACAAATTAGCAGTTTTTGTCTTGCCGTTTTGTTTCAGTTCGTGCTAAATGCTTTGTTTTCTTCTTTACCACACAGTCGGTGTCAGATTTTACCAACAAAACCAGTCTGTCTTGTGCTTTACTGCATAACAATCTGCACATAGCTGTTGTGCAGAGACATGACTTACTAATGGACAATAATGAATTCAGCATTAATCTTAATGATTGGACAGGCAAGAGGAACAAAACCGCTTTGTACTCTTTGACAAAACAGTGCCGCCAATTTGCCGCAAAGCCGAGCCGGCATCAAGGAGCTTTATGTTGTTTATTAGGGATGTAAGAAAATATCGATATGGCAATATATCGTGATATTGTTTCCTGCAATATTATATCGATATTCAAAAGCTGTGTATCGAATTTTGGGAAGAATTCACATGCAAACATTTGTGTATTTTCATTTCCTTTGGTGCAATTCAAACGCCGACTTCTAGTTGGCAGCAGTGTGCAGTGGGCTTTGTTTCCACTATTGAAATGTACATCTCTTTATTATGGTTCAGATACATCACGATAAACATGTTAAGTATCAGTTTGGGCAGTTAATTGAAATTTCCTACAATAAATTCAGTCTAAAAAAATTGCTGCTATTGTCTGGCTGATTGTATCGCGATATATCGTGGTATATCGTATCGTCTCCCCCGTATTGTGATGCATATCGTATTGCCAGAATTTCACCAATACACATCCCTATTGTTTATAACTGGCCAGACTGTGGCGGTAATGTGGCACAACCTGTACACAAAAGATTACACAAGGGCGGTATAAAGGGGCTATGGTGGCATGGACTCTGCGCTGCCACGGACTTCCGTTTATCTTCGACGTAACTTGCTTTTTATTGCGATCGAAGCCGCGCACGTTAAGTTTTTTTGACGAGCCGCTCCTACAGGTGTCTGTCCTCCACAGTCCCCGTGCAGTCTCTGGTGATCTGCTCTCCAGCTCTAACGGAGAGAAGACCGTGGAGCTCTACATCGGTCCAGTTTATCATCTCAGCTTGTCCTGTTTACAAAAGTGAAACTTACGGCACGTGTTTACTTTCATTTTCAATAGAGCTATCGGCCGAACCTTGGCAGTAGCTCTCCACATGATCATAGCAACTCCCTCTGTTGCGGAAAGAAGTAATAAGCATTCGCAAGTCTGGCGTTGTGGCGATATCACTACCAAGCGTGGCGGCACAAATGCCGCAAAATTCACGCAACGCCATTCCGCCACGGCGCGTTCATAAGACACACCGTGGCGACAGCAATACGCCGATTTCCCAGCATGGTGTGTCTTCTAAGATGGACTGAAGACAGTCAAACCAAAGTTTACGCCTCTCTGCCCTCAGATGTACAGCTTAATGCGTCAAACCACTGACACCAGCCTTTGGTCTGCTTAGTACCTCTGATTCACAACATTTCACTACACATAACATCTTCTTTAGCTATATTAGTGGGTAAACGGATCAGTAAGTGGGTTTTAGCCTGACTGTAATGATCCAGATTTCCTCCTCGAGGGCCTCTTTTCTGCACGTTGGGAGTCTTTTAGACCTGATTTAGTGGTTGAACTGTCTTTTCGGTATGCCCTCTGGTTCTTAGAAGCCTGTTAACATCCCGTTCAGCTAAATCTGGTCTGTTGCTGCAGAGAAACATCAAAAACATGCAGGCTAGTGGCCTCAAAGACCAGGATTAGGCAACACAAGTATAGAGAATCTATTTCCTTCCAGCCAACTGTATCAGACAAATTCCTGGATTATAATCTACAAGCTCTGTGATTCTGTAAGGGGTTGGATCAGATAGTGGTACAAGCAAACATTTGTTTGAACATCTGCCTCTTGTTAATGTAATTTGCTTCACATCTGTTCACTGCTGGCTGGAAACTCCCAAGAAAAATATATTTCATCTTGTTTAAAACCCCATAAAGGAACCTTCTTCACACAAACCAACTAATTTACCATATTAGGGAATATAATCTGCATTGCTCGTAAATGAAATATGCTGCATCATGAAAACTGGACACACGATAACGGTTTGAGTCATTTTTAGCTGCTAAACTGAATGTTCCGTTCCTGCGATAGGACTGTTTCTGTGTGTAAAATTAAAATGTTGCAGCATTTTAGAACTTTCTGCACACTAAGCAGTTTTTTTTCTTTCTGTATTGCAGATCCAGCTTGTCCAGCTGTCTTTCTGCACCGGTGGCATGCTGTGAGAAAGGACCGCTGCGCCTCAGTGCTCCTCGGACCCTTGTCCTTGACATCCAAATGGTGTTTGTCGATGGTGATGCCACCCGTCCTCTATGAGTTATGACGACGGGTGCTTGTTTGACTCCGGGAAAAGGATCCTTCTCCTCTTACAAGTGAGCAAGTCACATGATGTGATGAAGACACTTCCCGAAGGTCTGCTCTCCAACGAATCTGCCAGCAGGATATGAGTATTTTGAGCCCTGTGACAGATAACAAATCAACCCTTGTGGGAATTGTGGGCGGCTCAGAAGAATACTCCAGAGCCATGCAGTCAGAGGAGCTGTTCAGCAGGAAACTCAAGGCCTTGAATGGAAACATGGGACCACCCGCCTCAAGCATTCCGGGGAAATCTGATGGTGCAGGTAAAACAAATGGTACTCCAGCCATGCCTAAAATGGGTGTTAGGGCAAGGGTGACCGAGTGGCCACCGAGGAAAGATGGATGGGATGGACGACCTTCGCCAAACTACCAGAGCGTGATACCGATCTTTCAGAATGGACAGCAGGAGCATACTGTGGAATTATTAGAGCAAGGGGAGGAAGTTTGTGTGGAAGTGGATTACACTGACAAATACTCTCTGAGTGACCTTCTCAGCCAATCCCCATTGAAGGGTCTCCACCCTATCCGTCAACGTAGCAACAGCGATGTCACCATAAGTGACATTGACTCTGAGGATATAATGGACCAGAATGCTGTCAATCCAAACACGGGAGCGTCTCTACACCGCGAGTATGGCAGCACATCATCCATCGACCGTCAGGGCCTTACTGGAGAGGGTTTCTTCACCATGCTAAGGGGATACAGGGTGGAGAGCCTGGACCATCGTAGCATTCCGCCTCTGGGTTTTCCAGAGTTGCTACGCTGTGATGCCTCCTTGTCTCCAAGCTTGCAGACAGCAGCACAAATTGCCAGGGGTGAGATAGTCCACATTCCAGGCTATGACTACATAGATAGTTCTGTCCTCTACAGTCGGGAACGGGAAAAATCTTTTATGAGACGGCTTAAATCAGAGTCAACCGAAACGTCTCTGTTCAGGAAACTGAGGACCATTAAAAGCGAGAGCGATGCTTTGAGACTCTCTTTAGAGGACGACCGCCGGCCACTTAGCTTTCAGAAATGTTTTGCTCACTATGACGTCCAGAGTGTGCTTTTTAACATCAGCGAAGCAGTCGCAAGCAGAGCTAACCTGAGCCAGAGAAAGAATACCACCACTGGGGCTTCAGCTGCCTCAGCTGGAATAGGGCCTGGGACCAGCGGACTACCTGGAGTGGGACCTGGGGGCCTGTCTGGATCTGGGGCAGATGTTGGAGCACCATGTTGCAACAGTGGAAATCCTTCCATGTTTGAGTCTCCGCTTGGAAGCAGAGAAGACTTGAACCCGAAGGAGAACCTGGACGCAGATGACGGGGATGGAAAGAGCAACAACATGGTCTTGAGCTGTTCGCACTTTCGTAACGAGATCGGTGGTGAGGGCGAGAGGAAGATCTCCCTCTCCAGAGTCAACAGCACCAACTACAGTGGCATATCGGAGAGCTGCTCCTTTGAGTCATCTCTTAGTTCCCACTGCACCAACGCAGGAGTCTCTGTACTGGAGGTGCCTCGGGAAAATCAGCCTATCCACAGGGAGAAGGTCAAACGCTACATCATTGAGCACATTGATCTTGGAGCATACTACTACCACAAATACTTCTACGGGAGAGGTAGGTGACACTAGTGATGAACGTGTCGTTTTTGAGCTTACAGTAATCCCTTGTTTATCGCGGTAGATGCGTTCCAGACCTGGCCGCGATAGGTGAAAATCCGCGAAGTAGGGACTCCCAGCATGCCCCTCGCGGGGATTCCCTCCACGTCGCACCTACGTCACAAACCGCGGCTATAAACGGGAGTCGCCTTTCCAGCTCACCACTCAGTCATCATTTCTTCAGATTCATGATCAGAGTTTCCAACCTACCGATCAATCCAACGAACTATCAGCTCATAGTAGGTTATCTTACTTACTTCTGGAAAGCCCGGCATTTCCGTGTCACTTCGTTGACGCTCGAACGCTCGGGGGTTTCCTAGATCAGCCGGCGTTTCACCGACGCTATCACTTCCGCGTCCGTGAAACCACGCTCCCTATTGAATTATCGTATGATCACATTCTCTTTTTGTGGGTAAAACTCAAGAAAAAAATTTTTTTTTTACTTGTTTTTTTTAGTTTTATTACAAAAAGTGCATTTTATGATGAAATTGATGAAAAAAAACAAGAATTTCTTGATATTTCGCATAGAAAAATACCGCGAATCTGTGAAAAATACCGCGAATCTGCGAATTCCCCCTGAAAAATGCTCCAAAGAAAAAATCCGCGAATCCGCGATGAACGAACCGCGAAGTAGCGAGGGATTACTGTACATACGTAGATTATAGTAGATTTGGGTGGCTCTCTGAGGATCCTTAACCTTTTCTTCAGGTCTAATTAATTTGATTGAGGCGTGACTCCATGCAATATCCTTTGAGCAGAATTTCCACTTGTAGTGTCACATATCTTTGTGACCCAGTCATTTATGTCAAACCACAGCATTTAAATATCCAGAGCAATAGCAAGGGCCTGCGTTGGCTACAGAGGTTTTTGTTACGCTTCCATAAGCGAGGAGTGGTTGTGTCCTCCCCGAGGTTTCAGCAACGCCTTCTGCAACAAAACTACAATCAGTCATGTGCAAAGAGAGAGGTGAATGAGAGGGCGTGCTGCAGCTGTTCCCCGTGGGGACTACTGGGGTGTGAAGGCTCCTCGAATGAAGCTTTAGGGTCAGCACAACTACGCCAAGGTCCTCGTTCTCCTCATTAAAACACCTATGTAGCTGACACTGAGAATACCACGGTGACCCAGACCCATCACCACCTTACACGTATCTGTTTTACTCGCTGTCGGTGCTTACTGCTCTCAGCAGATTGAATTACCCACCAGAAGACAGCTGCTTTACCTTTCACGCCCGTCCGCCTGACGCTCTGATGCTCAGACTGGCGTGTTTTAATGTACCTTTGATCTCACTCTTGTGTGCAATCACAGGAACATCTTTCTTCACTCGGTGCTCATCCTAAAACACGTGTAGCTGTTTAAACTCTGTTTTCCGGGGCAACGAATGCAACACATCCTTTTACCTTTTTGTTGGTTTTAAATAAATTATAGGTTTCCATAAAACAGACTTCTCGCAAATTAAATGAAAATTGCTCTTGCTCTATTTCCATGAGGTGCTTCATTGAATAGACAAGCTTGTCATCGCCTGCACGTGCATGCAAACACGACCGTGTGTCAACACTTTATGGTGAGCTTTATCAGCCTTAGATGAACTTTGATCTCATGGGTCCTTAAAAAGTCTTAAATTTGCTTTTCTAAATTTAAGGCCTTAAAAATCCTTAAAAATTACAAATAATCCTTAAATACGGTTTCCAAAGGTCTTAAATTACCAAAGACCCAATGAACAAGAATTTCTAGTTAGTCTTCAGCATTTTCTGTGTACGATGTTGGCGTTAGCGGAACCGTACACATTCAGTTGGTTGTGAAAGGGGGCTATTTTTAGATGAGCACATTAGCTGGTTAAGCTAGCGGGAGCTTGCGCCATGGGGAAGTGCAAGTTTAATGGTAACTGGGTGGGTAATCCCACGTTCGTGACGTGGTTAGCACCGGTTCCAGGCAATAGCTGGAAATTATAGATTAAATTTAATTTAAAAAATAGCTTAAATTTGGTCAAATTGGCCTTAAAAAAGGTCTTAAAAAGTCTTAAATGTGGCTCCCTTAAACCTGCAGATACCATGTCAGCTCCAGCAGCCATTCTCCTAAAAGGCTTTGGTTTTTTTTTTTTTCATCAGCCCCTGCCGAAAACTGATTGCATACTTGGATTTTCACAGAAATCAGCAGTAAAGCGTGATATTAAAACCTGTATGTATTGTTTAGGGTCCGGAAATGAAACCCCTGGACTGCATTGCCTGACTAATCCATTTTGCAGCCTTTTCCAAACTGAGACGAGCACCAGTGACATGTTTTAAAACTCTCCAAACATGATTTGAACTTTCTCTTTGATCCAGTTTATCTGACTACCCAAGCATCCTTCAGTTAAAACAGCTTTGCCTCTCTGCAGTTCATTTTTTATGCATGCAGATTCTTGTCAAGACTTGTGACACGGACGGTGACGGAAACAAACTTTTTTACACGCTTACGGGCCACACAGCAGAATGCAAAATTTACATTTCAGCTGCACCGTCTGCGAACGTCAGCACCACAGGCTCCGACCGAGGCTTTTGTTTGGTTGTCTGTTGAATCCGGGTCTACCTCCTCCGCTTTAGCCTGGATTAGAGAATGTTTGCTTAAGACGCTGTGCCGAGTGTGCGAAGCTCCACTTAGACGTATACGGCACAACCTACACAGGTTGACATTCGCAGCTAAATGTTTAAATTGCGGCTCTTAACTGAAAACTAGATTTTGGAGTTTGTAGAGGTTGTTAAATGTATGAGGTTTGACGCTTGCCAGTGTTTACATAACCTGTCGTTAAATTAATGGATGTTCAGCGCGTAATCTTTTGAGGCCTGATTCGTAATTTAGATTTTTTTTTTTTTTTTTTTACAAATTTTACATAAAAAATTGCTTGGCAAGTTCATCTAATAATCCAGTCCATCAGCTATACCTGCTTAATCTAGTCCAGGGTCAGGGGAGGGCTGAGCTGCTCTAGCTGCCTGTGACCGAGAGGCGCGTTGCCCTCTGGACATGCCATCTGTATTCCACAGAACCCCCGCAGTGAGGCGTGGACACGTGCAGAACTACGGCCAGTTTGATCTGTGGGAGCTGTGGAGCGGAGTAGGTAGATCCAGTGGATAATGATCTGGGGTTAGAGCTAAAAAGCAATCTCGTAATCAGTCTTTCCGATGCGAGTGAAGAGACCTGTCACACAACAACTGGTTGTTGGCTCGTCGGCGTTGTGTATTACACTTGCCTCCCCTTTTATTGGATAACCCCAAAGGTCAAAGTTCAATACAGAGAGTATCGATCGGTTGTTACATCAACACACATCGTTTCCTGTCCTGTTCCCCTTATAAATAAAAGCATCTGTACAATATACACATAAATGGTAATGATAAATGACCCGCACTTGTATAGCGCCTCTCAGAGTAAGGACTCCAAAGCGCTTTACACTACAGTGTATCATTCATCCATTCACACACACATTCATACACTGGTGGTGATGAGCTACAATGTAGCCACAGCTGCCCTGGGGCGCACTGACGGAGGCGAGGCTGCCGAGCACAGGCGCCACCGGTCCCTCCGACCACCACCAGCAGGCAAGGGGGGGTTAAGTGTCTTGCCCAAGGACACAACAGCAGAATTCTATGTCCGGAGCCGGGATTGAACCTGCAACCTTCCGATTACTGGACAACCCGCTCAGCCTGCTGAGCTTCTGCTGCCCCAAGTACACATAAACAGTGCATCAGAGCACAAAACTCAACAGGAACAAATGGACCTCTAGAAGTGCACAAATTCATGAAGAAAGGCACGTTTTTCTGCAAAAAGCTACATTAAGCTATGAGGTTAAAAGCCACAACCCACTTCAACCCTGTGCCACCCACATTTCAGAATCCAGAGTTATGACCACCATTAGGGCAGAAAAACCCTTAAAAACAAAAGAGACCATCTGTGGGCTGTGTGGTTTGTACATACCATGTATCCGCTTTGTCCTGGGCTTTGATGCAGCAAGGAAACCTCAACAGGTCTTTTAAAAAGGAAGAAAAGTCCGTCTACAATTATTCATTTGTGCGTTTGTCAGAATGATTAATGCACTGCTTCAGAAACATGAAATACTTTAACCAAATGTACTATTAAAGATACAAATCCATAAGTAATGCTAAAAATACTGAACAGGTTCTGTATCGTTATTGGCATTTCAAAAGGCGTAGAGGTTTGTGTGAAGGATCTGGGTCATTTCAGTCCAAACTTTCAGGTCTGTCTTAATTTTTAACATTTTATATACATGTGAGTGTAAAAATGAGTCTTTTTAGCAGTTACTCTGCAGCCCTAATACTATCTATAACGAGGGGTGTGGTTTAGTCTGTGCAATGTAGCAAGTCCATTACACAGGCTTGCACTTGGGTCTGCACTGGACATCGGCCTCCTCAGTATTACTTTTTCCTCCGGAGCGCATGAGGGATATCCTGACAAGTGCCCTCGGCGCCACAGTCAGTGATGTAAACAAGCATCCTGCTGATGGATCTGGCTGACTGGCAAACATTCCTTCATTTTTAACCCATTTTAAAGTCTTTTTGCTGTAAAGTCGCTCTGAGTTTCATGAATGAAGAACATGAAAGCGGTCTTTTAACCCAGTTGCCTGAATTAGCCACAGAAAGAAAAAGGACGGAGAATAGCTCTGGTCAGAAAAAACCACATAGATGTATGCTACACTCACCCACCTGGCCTTGTGACTGCAGAAGGTTTGTTGGTTCGGTGCCGTTGTCGGTACAAGATCTGCTCGGGTGCAAGATCGGCTCGGGTCCGTCGACTGCCGATGACGTCTAAGTAGTTGATTGGCTGAACATGAACCTTACGGAATTACGTAATCACGTAACGTTGTTATCACGTGACGTTGGTCTAGGCAAATTTTTTCTATTGGAAAGATGGACAACTTTTACAAAGAAATCCATCATTACCTCTTTGAAAAATACACTTTTAGCATAGAGCTGCAAGTATATTAGGGCTGAACGATTAACTGCATGTGCAATTAAATTGCGATGTGACAAAAGAAGATTTTCTAATGGCAAAGGCTGCAATTTGGCAGCGAGTGGTTAGCGCAATGCTAATATACATGGAAAAACCCATAGGAATGCTAATGCTAATATCGCCGATTACATTAGTACAAATTATGAATTAGAAACGTGCTAAATGATTACATTTGGAGTCTAATAGAAAGTAAAACTACCATCAATCAAATAAGTACAGACAGGTATTTTAGTAAAGCCAGAAAACTTTTAACTCCAGAGTTTTGGCTAGCAGCTATGAGCATAACTGAACTACGCATGGACAAGACGTCAAAACTCTAAACACAAAACACTTCAATAAACGGGACACACTTCTTTCATGCAAATACAATTTCACAGGTGTTGCTAATACCTATGATCCTTCAAGGGATGTGCTCAAAGAGGAGTTCAACATGAATCAAATATAGTGTTTTATTTTACAAATACTATTATAAACACAAACTTACGTCTTAAGAAACATTATTTTAATGACGAAACTGCTAAATTCTTTCCAACAGTATAGATGTGTAGTGTATTTTGTCCGAGTGGGTTTGCCGTACTTTGACGTCATCGGCAGTCGAAGGACCCCGAGCCGATCTTGCACCCGAGCAGATACTGTACCGACACCGTGAGGAGAAAACAGAGCACATCTTAACTAGTAGAAGCTAACCATTAGCATTAGCAGCACCACAACGTGGCGGAACATGTTCAGGCTTCTGTTATTTTTGGGGATAAAACATAAAGATTCCACCTTTTACCTAAGAAAGACAAGTGAACAGTAGCAGCGGAAGAGTAATGTTGCTGTTGGCCAATCAGAGGCGATACATTTGCATATCATGAATATTAATAGCCTGGCAAGCCAGACTAAATAAATGTATTATTTAGTCTGGCCACGCTCCATTGACGGCTCTCGGTTGTGGGGCGGGTTCTACCGTTGTCTTTCAAATGATCTCCACATTCCACTGGACAATGAATGTGACATACTCTTGTTTCACTCTGTTGCATCATCCCACCCACCAGGCATATAGAGTGCCCTGATTGGCCCACAAAGCGGATAAAGCTCTGTGATTTGTTCACTAAGCAGATAGAGCACTATGATTGGCCCACCATTATGGACCAATCACAGCTCTTTATGTGTTTGAAACCCCTCTAGAGAGCTGTGATTGGCTAGCCAGAGTCCTGGTAGGAGCTGCTGAGGTTCCAATGGAGCATGCCTAGACCATTCTTTGCAAAGCAAGAATTTGGTCTAGTTCACTAGGCTAGAATATTAATGTATAATTCTCATAATCCTGTCATTTTCCTCTGCTTCCGCTCCTCCGACAAACGTTTACTTCCTGAAACAGGAGCGTGAGAGCTTTTTGCCACAGACAACCACTCAAATTCATACAAGAGCTAATTCGTTGAAACAATCATTACGACTTTTATTGATGTTTTTGTGTGTAAAAATGAAAGACTCAATAAAAATACAGGTTATAATAAAAGCGTTAGTGAAAATCCAGAAATGCATCTCTTTCCTGTTTTACCTGCAGAGCACCAAAACTATTTTGGGGTAGATGACAATCTGGGACCTGTGGCAGTGAGCATCCGCAGAGAGAGGCTGGACGATGGAAAGGAGAAAGACGGGATGCAGTTCAACTATCGGGTCACCTTCAGAACCAGTCAGGTAACTACAAACTCTTTTCACAGCTTGTTCAAAGTGAACCGAACGGATCTGTGTGAGAGAGAAAAGCATGCACGACCAAAGAATCAAAGATGCCGCTACACCGTCGCTCATCATCAGCATTAGCTTGATGCATGTCGGTTTAAGGTGTTTTCTCTTTTTACCAGCAAGAGCATAGATAATTCATATTTCCCGTATTGCGTTCAGTATTTTAAGGCCATTCGGCTCAAGGCTCACCCAAGCAGTCTTAGTAAATGTGCTTTGAGCACCCTACCGTGTCCACCCGTTCAAGCCAGTCATGCAAACGCTGAAGCTGTCTATCAGAGTGGGTGTGATCGCCCTCACTTTCTCTTTGTCTCTCACACACCCAGGTGCATGCACACATTTACACACACAACACTATTAATCCCCCGCCCCTCCAAAAAAAAAAAAAAAAGGGGGGGGGAAACTGAGACTCATAGTCCGAGTTTCCCTGGTGTTCTGAGAGCTTTCCTTGATTGATGCTGGTTGGGTCTCGTACACTGAATAATTCAGACACAACAGATGCGTCAGGAAGGGAAATGCCATTGATATCCAGCGCCATTCTTGGTTTGAAGCACCACTCCCACGATGCACAGCATATCTGGGTCACTGTCGCCATGCGAGTCGCACACAGACAGTGTTTTAACTTCCCAACCGCTGGGGCGTCTGTTTGTGTTAATTCCCATCACTTAGCCTCAGTGCCCTCTCTAGTCTCTCCGTCCCGTTGCCTCTTTCACTCTCTATCTTCCTCACTAAGTCTGTTAAGTAATCTACTTTTCAGAAAGCCTCTGTCAGATGGCCATTGGCTGCTGACACTTGTGTCCGCCGGCTGTGTGGATGGAAATGGGATTTATGGGTGTAAACATGCCTTTGATGCTCCAAACACCAGCCTGGGTTGATGGGAGTACAACGTTGTAGAGCTTTTATCTTGTTTCTCGTGGGACATTAATGGGTTCATTAGTGAAAAGAACACTTAACCTGTGGTGTTCAGTTAGCTTGTGTTAATTATTTAATGCTTGAGCTCCTAATGCAGGCTAGAAGTGTCGTAATGGAGCAGTTTGCCTAAAAATACAGCAGCACATGTAGGAGTATATCCAGACCTGTGGTGTAACACTATGACTGTATATGACACCATGTAATGACTCTTTCCTATCAGCTGACCACCCTCCGTGGAGCCATCCTGGAGGATGCAATTCCATCAACAGCAAGGCATGGAACTACCCGTGGCCTGCCGCTGAAGGAGGTGCTGGAGTATGTCATCCCAGAGCTCAACATCCAGTGTCTGAGACAAGCCATCAACTCTCCCAAAGTCCCAGAGCAGCTCCTCAAACTGGATGAGCAAGGGGTGAGTAAGCCATGACCTGTTCTAGTCCGGTTCTTGAGTCAAAATCATAACAGCAGTCATTTTAAGATGAGCACATTGATCCTACTTGCTTAACTGTTTCTGTTCTTAGTTTCACATCGTTTGTCACTGAGAAAACGGGGAATGCTTGTTCGTTTTGAGTTACGTTCATGCACTCAGAGCTGCATTTGCATGCTGAACGTGAATGCTCTCCAACCCCTGTAGCTCCCATTAGCCACAGAAAGAAATATAATCGGGTTAGAATAAGCCAGGCTCTTTTTTAATCAGTAATCATGGCATTGCCCACCTTGGGTTGCGACCATGAAAAGCCGTGTTGATTTAGCGACCAGGAGAGCACATCTTGGCTAGTAGAAGCTAACCATTAGCAATAGCAACTCCACAGCATGGAACACGTTTGGGCCATTCTTAATTGTGGAGTTTAAACGTCGATGTTGCATTTTTTTTTACCCAAGAAAGAAGGGCGAATGAAAGCAGCGGAGGAGTTGTGATGCTGTTAGCCAATCAGAGGAGAGATGTTTGCATATCATGAATATGGGACGACTGTGGCAGAGGAGATAAGTGTCCGTCTCACAACTGGAGGGTTGTGGGATCGCTTCCCAATCAGTCTGTCTCTGTTGTTGTGTCCTTGAGCAAGACACTTAACCCACTGCCTGCAGGTGGTGGTCGGAAGGACTGGTGGTGCTAGTGTTGGGCAGCCTTGGTTCTGTTGTCAGTGCGCCCCAGGGCAGCTGTGGCTACAACGTAGCTAATTGCTACCAGCGTATGAATGTGTGTGCATGGGTGAAGGACTGTTTGTGTTGGGAAATGTGTTTCGGGTTGTAGAACCGGTAAGGTGCTATCCACTTACAGGCCATTTACCATTAATGAACAAAACTTGTAATCCGGCCATTTTCCGCCCCACCCCCTTCTTCTAGTCCTTTTGGCTGGAGTGAAAAGTGTAGACCTCGCTGTGCTGCTCTGGTGAACTCCAGAGCACTCATGAACAAACGCTTTTCTTACGCGGAAAGCTTCCACGCCTGTGTTCAAAAAACGACGTTATCACCTTTTACCTCTGATCGGACCATCTTGCTTTATTTCCATTGGAGTAAAACTGGTAATGGTGACGGGGGCTCTCTTCATCCACCATCATGTATCTTTAAGGCCTTTAATTTCTCATTTATTGAAACTTCAAAGTGCTGAAAGGCTTAGCCAGTGGTCAATTACTTGTTCGACTATTAAAAAAGAGGGCTGACTAGCTGAATCCGTTCATTAGCATTTGCACATCCTACCAGTTGACAAAGGGGAGAAGCTTCCTCTGAATATTAAGACTTAGTTACACACAAGCAATGGAGTAGGGCTGAACGATTAATTGCATATGCAATTAAATTGTGACGTGACAAAAGGAGATTTTCTAATCGCAAAGGTTTGACTGGCAGCGAGTGGTTAGCACAGTGCTAATATACATTGAAAACCCCATAGGGATGCTAATGCTAATATCGCCAAATAGATTCTTACAAATTACGAATGAGGAACGTGCCAAATTTTTACCTTTGGAGTCTAATAAAAAGTAAAAACTGCCATTAATCAAATAAGTACAGACAGATATTTTAGTAAAGCTAGAAAACTGTACCTAGACTCCACTGAGTTTTGGCTAGCAGCCGGTGTTGCAAAGCCCTGCACTGAAGCCCTAGGCCCTCGGGTCGGCTCGGCCCGACGGCCGGGCTTCGGGCCAACGACTGTGCAATTACCTCGGACACGGGCCGGGACAGGCGCCTTTATTTTTAATCGAATTCATTAAAAAAATTTGAAACACTTAAACCAGGGGTCGGCAACCTGTTCCCATCAAAGAGCCATTATTACCCGTTTCCCACAGTAAAGAAAACACTGGGAGCCACAGCAGCTGCGGCGTTGTGGGCGGGGCCTACCCTCAGACAGCAGAGAGCTGCTCACAACAGGTGACAGCAGCCAGTACCGGTCGCTCATGTACGTCAAAGTTATCTTTCATAAGACGATAATCAATAAAATGATTTATATAAAGTGGATCCAGAAGTTGTAGCCCGTCTCTGCTACAATATTTTGATATTTTTCACCCTGTTGGTGGTTTTACTGAGCAGGTGCCACTTTTGTCATACGTTTCTTTTTAAAACATGTTTAGACTGTTCAGAATACAAATCCAGGCTCTGTCACGTTTGATTGTTGTAATTAAACTTTGTAGGTGGGGAAGGTCAGAAAAGGATCCGATCATTTTGTTTTTCCCTCATTTACAGCGACGGAGATAACGGCGCGGTGCGCCTGGCTCTGGTGTTAATCAAGTTAAATTATATCTCTTTGCAACTATTTTCACAAGAAAACAGAACAGTTAAAAGCAGGGCTTGTGTTGACCGGATAGTTCCCGTATTTGACCGTTTATTTTGACGGAGAAAGAATAGAAAGAATTACCCCGACGCATGCAGACGAACTGACATTTTATTCTACGCAAATCGCAGATGTAGCTAAATCACTCAAGAAAAGATTCCCATCTGAACATCTGAGCTGGATACCGCTCAGCGCAGCTCGCTGTCAGCGTGTACTACATAAGGTCCACAGCGAGTTGAAGATGTGGAGAGGGGCTTGGAGCGCGTCGCAGAACCAGAGCGCATGCGGGAAGATTCCTCCGACTGAATTCATTCAGAGGAATCTTCCCGCTGATCTGAATCTGATGCGGCTCTCTGTGCTTGTAAAATAATTAATGGATATTTAAATAAAAAGCTTTATATTTTACTGCATTAATTTTATATCTGTAAGTCAATTCTATGTAAAGATTGTCTGCGTAAACCTGAACAGGTCCAACCCGGTCTTACTGTGAGACCGGGTTGACGCGTCACGCTTGTGCTTAATCATATCGGCGCTTTCTGAGATGAAGAGGATGTGAGATTCTGGGATTCTCCTCAGACGGCTCCTGGATGCGTCGCCATATTGGAGACAGGAACAAGCGCTATTCAGCCAAAGTTTCATAATCAGGGAACATTTTCTAAGTGACAAGTCTCTCTGAGAGACAGGGTTTGGGAAACTCTCGCTTCAGTGGGAGGAATCTTCCCGCATGCGCTCTGGTTCTGCGACGCGCTTCAAGCCCCTCTCCACATCTTCAGCTCGCTGTGTACCTTATGTAGTACACGCTGACAGTGAGCTGCGCTGAGCAGTGTCCAGCTCAGATGTTCAGATGGGAATCTTTTCTTGAGTGATTTAGCTACATCTGCGATGTGCGTAGAATAAAATGTCAGTTTGTCTGCATGCGTCGGAGTAATTCTTTCTATTCTTTCTCTGTCAAAATAAAGGTCAAATACGGGAACTGTCCGGTCAACACAAGCCCTGCTTTTAACTGTTCTGTTTTCTTGTGAAAATTGTTGGAAAGAGATGTAATTTAACTTGATTACCACTAGAGCCAGTGCGCCGTCATCTCCGTGATGGTAAACGAGGGAAAAACAAATTGATCGGATCCTGCACGTCTTTTAACACATTGGTCAGGATTGACGCACTTTGTTTTCATTTAGTTGGTTAAAAAAAAGTGGGGCTTGGGCTCGGGTCGGGCCAGAGAATCCTGAAAACCTTTTCGGGCCGGGTCGGGCTGGGGCTCCCTCCCCACGGGCCGGGCCGGACACGGGCTCAGATTTTAGGCCCGTGCAGGACTCTATGCAAACTGTTTTTGACTGAAAGTAGCTGAAGTTCCCCCCAAAAGTCGCTAGATGTCGCCAGATGGCGTCACGTGCTAATTTACATATCGATGACGTCATCACGCCACATTGGCGTTCATTTTCCCCATAGCATCTAGTACATATATATATATATATATATATATATATATATATATATATATATATATATATATATATATAATGTATAGGACTGAAAGGGAGGAAAATAACAAAGACTATGTTATGTGTTAAAGTTATTAATTAGTATGATTAAAATGGCTCAAGTTGCTTTGATATGTACAATAAATTCCAAAACTACTAATAAAGTGGCATTAAAACAGATATGGTGTGGTGATCCAAACAGTTCTCTAGTAGGATATAACTCAGACCTCCTGCTCTCCTCATTCTCACAGACATTTTCCTAAAGAGCTGTTTTTTTTTACACCTCATAGTTTCTCAACTTCTCTGTTGTGTGTTCTCTCCATCGTGATAATAACGGCGCACCGAGCAAAAGGGAGCGGGTGTCTCATAGTATAACCATCCCTGTGTCACTGAAGGAAATTCAGATGAGCCACAGAGCTGCGTTTGTAAACGGGACGGTAGCTGAAACTCCCGATGACTGTATTTGCCAAATGCAGGAAAAGACAGTGTCTGACGGCTGCAGAACCAGAGATGGCAGGTTGACGCCCGCGCCGTCTCTAGTAGAAGCGTGAGCCTGCAGCAGCAGACGTAAATCGGCGGTCTCCAGCTCTGCAACTGTACCTTTATCTTCGGCGAATCGGCCCGGCCGAAAACGGTTTACGATTGGTCAGTCCTCGTGCACATGTGCAGATTATCGTTCTCTTTTCCTTTCTTTGTTGCTAATCTGTAGGGAAGATCTGCAAGAAAGTTCTACAGAAAGTAGCAACGGGTCCTGAGAAATGTCGCTAGGTTTGTCGCTAGGCGCTATTTGGAAAAAAAGTCGTTCAGGGAGTTCAAAAAGTCGCTAGGAACAGCGACAAAGTCGCTGAGTTGGCAACACTGCTAGCAGCTGTGAACGTAACTGAACTACGGAAGCTCTGCATGGACAAGACGTCAAAAACTCTCAACACAAAAGACTTCAATAAACGGGACACACTTCTTTCCTGCAAGTACATTTTCACAGTTGATGCTAGCACCTATTCTCCTTCAAGGGATGTGCTCCTGGCTGCAAAGCATTGCACCTTCAAATACAAGATGTCGTCTTTACTTGTGAGTGTTCATGTATGTGTACACAAATAAACTTGTTGATAAATGTAGATACATAAACTTGTTTATATTCAGTACAAGTTACATAGATCTGTTTTTTGCTTCCGTTAGTTGAAAAATGAGAAAAGCCTCTTGAGAAAATAATTGTGAATTAAATCGCAAAATTATTATTTTCCAAAATCGTTCAGCCCTACAATGAAGGGCCGTCTTTTTAAACAAACTCATTTCAAGGAAGTTTTCAGACTTTAATCTCTAATTATGATGAAGGGGTTCAGTAAATAAGAGTCTTGAAGCGACACCTGCTTTAAAGCTCCTCGTGCTTTCAGAATGAAAGCATCCCGCCAGACACACGTTTTTGACTGAGACTGAAACTGACACCGAGAGTTCTTTCAGAGGAATTCAGGCTAATTGGGACTTCTGTGGTCTTCTTTAAATCAACCATCCAGTGGGAGCTGGGTTTTATATTTAGACTTGGTGTTTTGTACACTGCTGGTTTAAACATTAATGTTGTTCTTGCTCTGCAAATGTTTTATGTGCCAAGCACTTCCTTAATAGCTGCTGTTTGAACCGAGCTGGACGTGGACCAAGCCTCTGACGTGCTTATGCGAGGAAGCCAACGCTGCACAGTGAGAGATGCATATGCAGTGATTACGCTTGGCTCTTTCCCCCTCTGTTTGGGTGAATGATTTGCTTCTACAAGGTGTAAAAAGCCTAATCTTTTTTGTGTTTACTTGCTAAACTTAGGAGACGCTAGTCTCTTCTTTCATGCTTGAGTGCGCCCGTGTGTGAACCTGAACAATGGCCACGTGAGGGAGAGAGTCACGGAGCGAGGCGGCGCTGTCTTTACGGCTGGTATTGTTGCTCAGAACTAGCTTTGTGGTCTCTGCCGTAGTAAAACTGGATGTAAAACGAGAAAGGAACATATGGATCACATCGTGCATAAGGACAGCGGAAATTATTCTGCACAGTTGGACTGGAAAATATTATCCTGAGATGCAACTTTCATTAGACTTGAAGCCAAATATTAGAAAGATGAACTTTTTCTTGTTCATTTCCTCTAATTAAACGTGTTCTAAAATCACCTGCTAGTGTATTTCTTGTACATTTACCTGCATGTATGCTTATCTGATCATTATAACAGCCACATCAGCAAGATAAGTAACAGTTTAATAATCTTTTCCTCTCAAAAATAACTGTTTAATTTTAAGTGACCTACAAAGATGATCATATCCATGACGCAGAGAGTAATCGACCTCCTGCTGGGGCTGTGACTGCCATGCCAACAGAACTGCCTCTCATAGACAGTTTGCAAATGGAACATTTATTTTATTGAGACCATGATTTGTTTTTGTGATGATGCTTTTCATGAACTTGAACATTTTATTAAAGGGACTTTACGGAGTTTAGAATTTTTATGCTCGCGATTGCCCCCTCAGGCCAAAAGCGTAACGGCAGCTTCAATAGTAGGCTCATGCACGAGGCGTGCATGCTGTACGTGCACACTCCTTAACGAAAATAACAGCTGAGACAGTCCCATGTGAGTGTGTGTGTGTGTGTGTGTGTGTGTGTGTGTGTGTGTGTGTGTGTGTGTGTGTGTGTGTGTGTGTGTGTGTGTGTGTGTGTGTGTGTGTGTGTGTGTGGGACAGAGGACAGGAGAACATGCAGCTAATTAATTAAATAATGTGGTTCTGTACCTTTCTCTTCAGCACAGCCGGCAAAGGTTTATGACGGGTCAGTCCTCCTGCATGCTCAGATCATTCCCTTCCCTTGCTTGAAAAATTGTTCCAAAATGAAAGTTGAACCCACATCTTTTTTATCTGTGAATTCAATGCCGTTCGGCGAGTCTCAAATAAAAATTTGGGCGTCTTACTGTAAAAAAAATACCATTAATGTAAAAAAGAAACTCTAAATAAACTATGTTCACATCCAGAATCAAACCCAGGTCTTCTGCACGAAAGTCTGACGTCTTACTAGGTGAGCTAAAGCGCCAGTGACGTCTTTTGTATCTGTAACATTTATATCCTTGATGGCAGCTGAAACAACGTTCAAAGAACGGTTCGGAGTGAAAATGGCTGTTTTGTTGCTAATTAGCAGGAAATATCTAGAAGAAAGTTCTACAGAAAGTAGCTAAGGGTCCTCAGAAATGTAGCTAGCTTTGTCACTAGGCGTTAGGAACAGCGACAAAGTGGCACTGCCTCTCTCTCTGCTGCTAAAGCTACTGATAGCAAATGCTACGGGCGATGCCTGAGCGTGAACGCGCATGAAGCAGCCTGCTCGACCCGAGCATCTCTCTTTTTCTGTGATTTTACAGAAAAACAGGCAATCACAGTAGAAATGCCAGGGCTCATTCTACAGGACCAGGGCGTTGCAGGAGAACGTATGAAGAAGACATTTATTATTTCTACACATGTTTTGGCTGTCAGACTTCCATAATGCCCCTTTAAGTTGCATTCCCAATCTGGGTCTAGTGTCGCTGCCCCACTCATCAACATGGCTGGAAGTTGGGATGTAGATTCAATCCATCGTTTTTCTTCCACTCATCCATGGTCAGGTCGACGAGATAACAGGTTCCCAACCTAGACCCAGACATTGCTCTTTCCAGTGACACGATCTCCTGGGGTTCCAGAAGAATTCCCAGGTCAGAGATGATGCATAATCCTTCCAGAGACGTCTGGGTCCGCTCTGGGGTCTCCTCCCACTGGGACATGCCCAGGAGGCATGGTCAGCAGAGGCTCTACTCCGAGCTTTCCTTGGATGATGGCGCTCCTCAACTTCTCTCTAAGGCTGAGCCTGGACATCCTATTGAGCTTCTTGGTCAGATGTCTTGGTCAGAGTTTAGGGATGTAACGGTGCAGATACCTCCCTGATGTGTCGTTTCACCATTTCTCGTGCAAGGTCATATTGTCCCAGGAAAGTCACGCTCCTTTTTCCCTGCTCACTGATCATCAGCAAACAAAAGTCATCTGTGGATTCCACTGGAGCAAACCGTCCCGTAAAGCTGTCTGTGTAATGGTCCTGCAGCGTCGTAGCCAGGCTTTCTGTTTTAATGCGTTTGCTGCATTTTTACATCGCCGTGTACACAGATGTCACATTGGTGCTGCATGTTGTGTTGGGACTGTGTAATGTCTCTCTGGTGCTTCTTAGGAGCTCTCCAGGGGCGACGCTGGCCTCATTTCTCTGTCCACTCGTTAAGTGAATCTGTGTCTGCTACTGTCTGACTTTCACTGAGAAATTTGTCAAAGAAAAGATGAAAAGCCGCTGCTGACTGAGACCGACGAAATGACTGCTTTCTGTGCGAAGACGT